TGAAAGGATGTTCAACTTCACTAGTCATTAGGGAAATGAAAATTTAAAACATGCTGAGAAACTACTAAATACATATTAGAATGGCAATAATAAATTAATTAACAGCGATACACTAAGTGTTAGTGAAGATGAGAAACAACTGGAACTCTCATAAACTGCAGGTGGGAATGCGAAATGGTACAGCTACTCTGGAAAGCAGTTGGGCAGTTTTTACATAATTAAGTATTCACTTACCATATGACTCAGCGATCCCTCTCCTAGGTATTTACTGTGGAGAATGGAAAACGTATACTCACAGAAAATCCTGTATGTGAATGTTTATAACAGCTCTGTTTGTAATCTCCCAAACTGGAAACAACCCAGTGTTCTTCAATGGATGAATGTATAAACCAACTTTGCGACACATCCATACTATGGTATACTACTCAGCAATAAAAAGGAACAAGCTATTGATACGTGTAGCAACATGTATTGATCTCAAAGGTTGTTATGCTGAGTGAAAGAAGCAGTTTCAAAAGATTTCATACTGTAGGATTCAATTTATATGACATTTTGGAAAAGAGAAAACTATAACAAACTATAGCAAGAACAGATCAGTGCTTGCCATGTGTTTAAGCACATAGAACTGCACACCATAAAAGGGATATTTAATCAAAGAACATAGATGCATATATACCCATGGACACAGGCAATAGTGTGGGGAAGGGCTGGGGTGGGGCATGGGCTGGGTGGAGGGGGGCAAAAGGAGAGAAAATGGGGGACATCTGTAATACTGTCAACAATAAATTTTTAAAAAGAGATATTTTACTGCAAGTTAATTTTAAAAATAAAACTAAAATGGCAAAATAAACCCATTATGTAAATGTAAAACCTTTTTATGAAATTTAACCACATTTTTGGAAATAAAAAATTAGTAAAAACAGTGGTATTGTTTTACATTTTTGTCAATCTCTCTATTATCTAGAATAGAGACAGCTGGATTCTCATATCTTGCGGGTTATCTCTATTGATAGTTAATATGTTAGATCATTTTCTGGGTTGCCATAACATATGTCATGTAGTCTCTGGAAAACCCCGACTTGAAAGACTAAGAAAGAAAAAAGCAAATAATGTCTGAGTATTATTATGATCATTGTTTTGACTCCATGGACCACCTGAAATAATCTCAGGGATTCCCCAGGGTCCCTGGACCACACTTTGGAACCACGGCTCTAATGCATCTCAGTCATTTTCATAGCATCTTGGCTTTTTTTGTGTGCCATACCCACATGTCCCCATGTTAACTTAATGGTTTTGTTCAGATTGGTCAATTTTTAAAAACATATCTATTTCAAGAGGAAACTTTCTATAGCTCCTGTAAATGAGAAACCAGTTTCATTTTCCTGTAAATGGAAAGTAGCCACACAAAAAATAAGCAATGTGTAACTTACATTTAAAAATATAAATTTACCCATGAACCATCCAAACTCATTTCTGCATGGCACGCTTTGGAAAATGGAACGCAAAGGAGTGATGATAACGACAGCTGACATACCACTTCATTTACGTTAGCCCATTTAATCCTCACAATTATCATGAGAGGTGAATTATTATTATCCTTTTATAAACATTTGAAATATATGTGTGCATATACAT